GCGGCAGCGGCGGGCGGCGGCGCTAAGGCCCCGCGGCGGCGGTGGCGCTGCCGTGTTGACAGCGGCGGCCGCGCCGGGAGCTGCCCCGGGAAGCGGGTTGGCGGCGCCGGTTCTCCCGCTCCCAGCTCCGCTATGGCCTTCATGGAGAAGCCGCCGGCCGGCAAGGTGCTGCTGGACGACACGGTGCCGCTGACAGCGCAAATCGAGGCGAGCCAGAGCCTGCACTCGCACACGGTGAGCGGGGCAGGCCGGGCCGCGGGGGCAGGCGGGAGCGGCCGGGGCGGGGGGCAGGGAACGGACGGAGCCGGTAACGGGGGGCGCCGSGGGATGCCCGAGGTCCGCGATGCCGGGCCGGGGCACGGCGGGAGCGGGGCTGAGCGGGGGCCTGCGCTGAGCCCGCGGCAGCGGAGCCGGGGGTGGCGGCAGGCGGGGGGTGCGCCGGGGCAGTGCGGGATGGGCTGGGGGCGAGGGGCAGCGGTGAGGGAGCCAGCGGGGCCGCGACCCCGCAGCGCTCATTGCAGCGACACGCAGCCCCTCGGTGGGATGCGGAGGTGCCGCCGCCTGGAGCCGAGGGTCTTTCGGCTCCTTCGCCCCCGCTCTGTCGGCGGGGTTCCCGGGGGCAGCCGGCAGCACACCCCGGGAGGGACCGCCGGGGCTCTGCGSGGGCGGCCGGTGCGGGGTTCGCGCTGTCTCGCGTCCGCCCCGAGCGAGGCCCTGTGAATTGCTGTAATTCCTGCTTTCCTCGGGTGTTGCAGCCTTTGGAGCAGAGATGGGCTCTGGCTGCCGCGTTTCGGTGGCTGTGATGAAGTTACACGTGAATGGGCTGCATTTGCCTGCGGGTCCTGCGTGTGTCTGAGCAGAGACTGCAGAGACCCCACACCCCCAGCCCCAATTCAGTGACACCAGAACAGACCCTGCGGTGACTTGGGTGTCACAGATTAACTCTTCCGGGATGCCTAGAACACATGCACACTGCTTCCATAGGAAATGTCTTTGAGCATGCAGTAATAGTCCAAATTTCATAATATCCTGTTTGCAGTTATTTTCCACTTTAAAAACTGGATTTCCTTATGGTATGACCAAGCAGCAGTAGTGTGAATCAGAGAACTGGCTGTCATTTCTGATTCCTGCTTTGGCTGAGAGCCGGGATGCTGGAGAGGAGGCCAGAGGTACCTCAGCAGCAGGTACACTAGYGGAAGCATGCTTTAAATGGAGAGAGGGTTTCTTTCCTTCTGTGCCTTACACAGCTCTGATTCCTGCATTGTGGATCTCTGCCTGGTTCCTCGGATCTGGCACCTATTCTTAACCTGAATGACAATAACTCTAGGTTCACTAMAGGCTATACAATTTGCAGACTGTCTTATTAAATGCTTTTCCTATAAATAATTCACACCTGAGAAGTGGTTTATTTTTTGTGTGAAGAACTCGCATTTACTAACGTTTCAGTCTTTCACGGAATTTACCAATGAGAAATCACCTAGATGGTGAATCTAGCATGATACGGCTGTGAATTGTTGCAACTTTTCTTGTAAATTAGGCTGAAGAGGTTTATTTCGTGTCAAGTGTGATACTTTTTACCTGTTTCAATAGCTGAGTGGTGGGTGTGCCAAGTCCTGTMAGAAGTTGTGTCACTCCTAAAACTCCCCGGTTAGCAGACCTGATTAAGTTTCATTGGTAACTTGTTTCCAACATGCCTTATTATGTTTTTTTGTTACTGCAAATTACAATAGCTTTTTGTGTTCTTTCCTTTGGTTTGCATGATTCTAGTTRGAAAAGAAAAACTTTAAGAATGATCACTTGGAAGTACTTTTTCAATCACATTCTTTGTGTGTTGTCTTGTCTGAGGGAGTGTGATAGCAAATGTTGCTCCCCCCTGTCTTTCATTCTGTATGTTACTAACGGGTGTGCAGAAAAACATCTCTACTGTTTCGTTCTGATCTTTAGTTAATAACAGAACGCTGGAGCGCTGTGCCTTTTGATTTAAAATCTGTCTCTAAGATACATCTATTAGTAATTGTTTGTTTTACTGCAGAAGCCCTGTTGATAGCTGAAAGATGGCTTGAAGTGTGTGTAGCACAGATGGTTTATATAGAGCCAGTGTGGGATAACAAAATAGAGGAAGCAAWTAATAGAGTCTTGGTTTCTTTTTTGATGTAAGTGGACTATTCTGTCATTTTGGATACTTCATCTTATGTCCTTGGTGTCTGAATAGTTTGTTTATTGGTGGGTGATGCTGTCCCTGATTTGAACTTTCCTGATTCAAAATAAGCCACACAAATAAATCCTTGTGTCTGAAGAGGTGKGCA